TTTTATGACACTGAATCAAGAACTGGGGTAGTTGGAGAGTAGTCACACATCTGTCCTGCCACCCCTATTAAAACTGGAGCTCATGATACTCTGAACCTGCCTAAACTCAGCTATGAAACACTGATCCTCGAGGGCTTAAACGTGGCCTTGATTTGATGCATGGGAGCACTAGAAAAGCCAGTGGTATGGCTTACCATGTGTGAAGGTAAACTGGTGTGTAAGTCTTGCCAGAAAGAGTTTCTTTGGAATAGATACCCTTGTCTCATTTTGTGGAACAGGTGATAGAATGAAGTCCAGTATGTCACTGTTCCACTCACTGTTCTAAACAAAATATTGTAATGTATCTCCGGCTACTCAGAAATGCTTGGATAATACATCTGGAAGCTGGCCATGCTGCTTATAGGAGAAGGAAAGAGTGAATAGCCATGGGCAACTGGAAGAATTAGTGAGTGAATTTGAAGTGCTTGAGAAGTTCTGGGTGGCTGATGTTTCAATAATTTTTGAGAGATTTGCTATAGTATGTGACAGCCTCTATGACATTTTATCTTGGAGCAATATCAGAGAAGGATGTCTTGAAAGGAAATTCAGCTGCAGTGATTAAAAAAATCATTCAGTGAATATAAAGGCAGGTACCAGGAAATTTAGTACAGTACTGAAATATATAATGAAAAGGAACTTGTAAGAAGGTGAGGAATTTTCCTTGTAATCTATGAGTAAAAAGGTATGAAATATGCTGAATTAGACCTTTTCTGGCCTCTTGAAATGATTAAAGGTGTTAGAAATATACAGATTGCTACTTTATTCATTAGGAATGGTGGTTGACTAAAGAAGAAAGAGAAGTTCCATTTGTCTGGGTGAAAATCCTCTCTGAGAAAAATTTGGCAAGCTCTCATGTGAAAAGCATTAAAAAAATGAAAGCTTTTTATTTTTTTAATGAAGGAGTATTTTCTTCAACATCCATATTGCTGGTGGCACAAAGCTTTTGGTAAGAAAGTTTGGAGTGAAGTATTTGATTGAATCTTATCTTTGTCTTCACAGATTTTTTTTCTTTTGTGTTCACTATTGCTACAGAAAGATCCCTAGCAGCTTATTTTCTGATATTTTCTTGTAACGACGTGTATTTGTATTCCACGGACAGATTCAAGCGAGATCTCTTTGGTTGCTCTTGGGGGAAGAGGTTTATTCAGGATACATTGAGGCTCTGCCTCGAGCTGCCAGACACAGCACGTGGCTGGGCCTCGGGTGATGGGGGAGGGGAGAGACAGAGAGGAGAGCAGGGACTCCCGGAGGACTCTCCAGGAGGGGAAGGAAGATCCAAGAGGGCGTCCAGCCCCCTGGAGACCCCTTATCAAGGGGGGCTCCAGGGTGGGCTGGAACAGGACCTGGGCCAATGGGGTCACAGGCACCTGATGGTTCAGGGGAGGGTTACAGATGTGGGGTGAACCATACATTCTGGGGGGTGACATGGGAGAATCCATTCGGCTTTTGGACCCTGCTGTAGGTGAGGGTAATTGTCCAGCCAGTAGGGGGCGTTATACTCGTCCTGGCTGTACCTTTGTGGTTCTTAATCATATTTATCTACCCTCCCCAACATCTCCCCCTTTTTCACTGAACCATTTGAAATATTAAATATTGATTTAACAACTATTTTCTGCACACTTGGAGGTGTACAGGGTATTGTTACTAGAACTATACTTATTGCTAGTGGAACAGTCAAGCTTATTTTACAGAGTTCCTTTAGCCAAGGTGCAAGGCTTAAACTATTAAGTAAATTGTATAGCTGAGATGACCTTATTGTTATTAAATCACTGATTATAGTAGGGGAGGCATTGTCAGAATTTTTTTTGGAAAAGGTCTTATAATTAAACGGGTTGAAAAAGGTTTGTTAGGGTTTGTGTTAGATATATAGGTGGTTTTAGAGCTTGCAGGCTTGGCTAAAGCTACTCGGCATTTGTCCTTGGTTGAATTATAAGTAAAACTTCAATATAAAAACTGAAACAGAAGAACAAAAACAATATGCACGCATTAAACGATAGAAAGTCCATTTTTCTCTTGATGACGCAGCGTGGTTCAGGTCTGGGTGCTGGCTTCTTGGCTTGTGCTTGTAGAGGAACTGTCTGGTGTGGGGGTGTCAGCAGATTTCGGAGCATGGTAAGGCTTCACGTTCTTTCCTGGGACCCACTTAAGTCCTTGACCTGTAGAAACACAAGCAAAACCTTTTCCCCACGTTATGAGGTTGTATGGACCTTCTATTTGCCCTGTGTCTAAGTTTTTTATTAAAACTGGGGGGTGTTCTTTAATTTTTGCTTTTTTGTTGTTCAGAAAGTGTCTGTAGATGGGGGGGTCGGGCTCTTCTGTAGAGCTATTTAGGAAATTGTAAACATACAGAGCTTTACTCAATCTCTTTTGAGGTGTAGCTTGATCTACTCCTCCTTTCTGTTGATTTAAAATGCGTTTTAGGGTTTGGTGTGTTCTTTCTACCATTCCCTGACTCGTGGGGGAGTGAGGGATGCCAAATGTATGGTGAACACCCCAATCATTCAGGAATGTGGCTAGTTCTTGTGAGGTATATGAGGGGCCATTATCAGTTTTAATTTCTTGGGGAACACCTAAATAGGAGAAGGCTTGTGAGAAATGTTGGCAGACATGCTTGGCTGTTTCCCCTGTATGTACAGAGGCAAAAATTGCATTTGAAAATGTATCAATAGAGACATGGATGTTTTTAAACTTCCCAAAAGATGGATATTTAGTGATATCTGTTTGCCATTTCTGTAGGCTCTCCAACCCTCGCGGGTTGGTGGCTGCTGAAGGGGGGAGGGGTTGCACATGCTGACAGCTTGGGCAAGCTCGTACAATATTTTGTGCTTGCTCTAGGGAAATGTGAAAATCTCGTTTGATGGCCTGTGCATTTTGGTGAAAGAATGCATGGCTCAATTTGGCTTGTTCAATAGTGTTGGGCAAGGTGGTTGCAGCAAGCACCGAGGTGGATTTTTCAACGCTTGCTGAACCTTCCTCATCAGACGCGGCTGATGCCAGTGCATCAACGCGTGCATTTCCCTCTGCCATGAATCCTGGAAGACCAGAGTGAGCCCTGATATGAGAGATAAAGTAAGGATTAGCTCTGTGTGATAAAATGTTATATAAACAGGTAAGCCAAAGACACAAATTATTGTTGCTTACATCCTTTAGAACGGATCCCTCAATTCTCTTAATGACATTAGCTACATAAGCTGAATCTGTGATCAGGTTGAAAGGTTCCGGAAAGAGCTGAAATGCTCTTACAACTGCAGCCAATTCAACAATCTGAGGGGAACCTTCAACTTTTTGGACATCTTGTTCCCAGGTTTTAGTTTTTGTATTTTGCCATGTAACAACTGAGTTGTGTGTTCGGCCTGACCCGTCAGTGAAGATAGTAATTGCATTTAAAGGTTCTTCACTGATCAGGGGCTTCTCCTTATAACATAACTTGGCTTTGATCATTTTGTGTGCTGGGTAGTGAATTGAGCAGGTGCCTGGGAAGTTCAGCAAGGCATACAGCAGGTCCTCCGATTTTTGCATAGCCCAGTCAAAATATGTTTTCTTCATGGGCAGGTAAATAGTTTCAAACTCGCGGCCTGCTATTGAAAGGAGCCTTGCTCTGCCTTTGATGATGATCTGTGACATCATCTCCAAAGGTGTGAGGATTGTCTTTGGCGACCTATAGGAAATAAAAACCCATTCAATTATTAACAGTGGATCCTTGAGAGAAGAGTCCCATTGGAAGATGAGGCCGCACAGCCTCAACTTTTCTCCCAGGATTGCAAGGAAAAAGGGTTGACCAGGAACATAGCGATGTGCCTGCCTGTTCTGCAGAGCGTCAGTGATGTGTTCTAGGGCTTTATAAGCCTCTGGAGTGAGAGACCTGGGGGATCTGAGTTCATTGTCTCCCTTTAACAGATCAAAAAGTGGAGCAAGTTCATCAGCAGTTATTCCTAAGACAGGCCTAACCCAATTAATTTCCCCTAAGATCTGTTGTAAGTCCTGTAGAGTGCGGACATCGGTTCGGATTTGTATCTTTTGGGGGGAAATAGACTGATCTGTTAGTTTCCAGCCTAGATACTTCCAGGGGGCAGTTTCTTGTATTTTTGATTCAGAGATCACAAGTCCAGCCTTTTTCACTTCAGCAACAGCATAACTACAAGTCCCTCTCATCTGCTCTTGTGTTGGTGCTGCAATAAGCAGATCATCCATGTAGTGAAGGATAACGGATTGTGGAAACTTTTGGCGGACTGGAGTCAGCGCGCGGGCGACGAAATATTGGCAGATAGTAGGCGAGTTTTTCATTCCTTGGGGGAGGGAAAGCCAGTGATACCTCTGAAGCGGTTCTTGTAAGTTCGTACTTGGGATGGAGAAGGCAAAACGAGGAGCGTCATCTGGATGCAGAGGGATGTTGAAGAAACAGTCTTTCAGATCTATGATGATAAGAGGCCAGTCTCTGGGTATCATGGACAGGTTGGGCAGGCCAGGTTGGAGTGGGCCCATGTTTTCGATCACTGCATTGATTTTTCTGAGATCGTGTAGCAGTCGCCAGGTGTTAGAGGTTTTCTTATGGATCACAAATACAGGTGAGTTCCAGGGGCTGTTAGTGGGCTTAATGTGGCCCTTCTGCAGTTGTTCTGCTACCAGTTCTTTGAGGGCACTCAGCTTGTTATCTGGCAGGGGCCACTGATCGACCCAGACAGGGGTGTCAGTCTTCCAGGTCAGTTTCGGAGTGCTGAGTGCTTTAGTGGCCCCTACAAAAAACCCAGTTCAATTTTAGCTCCCCATGCAGAAAGCAAGTCCCTTCCCCATACTGTGATGGGTTTCTGAACCACATAAGGGCGAATCAATGCTTTCATTCTGTCAGGCCCTTCAATGCTGATCACAGATTCGCTTTGCAAGCACGGAGTGACACCTCCGATGCCTGTGAGAGTGCTTGGGGGAGGTACCAACCTCCAATCAGTAGGCCAATAACTAGAAGAAATTACAGAAACGTCTGCCCCCGTGTCAATCATCCCCTTGATGGTGACTCGAACCCCGCCATTTGATAGTTCACAAGTTAGCATTGGTCTTTGGTCACTTATGTGTTGAACCCATAGGACCTCGGGGTTTTCAGAAGCGACTGGGAAACAACGTGGTGGTATCTGGTCTATGGCTCCCATAGGCAGTGCAATGGCAGTGGCTATAGGGGTTTTAGGTGGAATATGCAATGGGGGGTAGTAAGCCTTGGCTAACACTAATAGTTCTTCATTGCAGTTAGCAGAGACTACACAAGGTAGAACAAGTAGCCCCAGGATGCAGTTCCTTTCTTTGCCAACTATTAGAAAGTCTTGCCGGAGTTGTGAAGGCCCAGTGATTCCTGTCGAAATATAGTCGTAGCCATCATCCTTTAAGAAGGTTGTTGGCTTGGAGGTCGCCAGAGTGCACCAGGTGCCTGGGGATAGTAAGTTTGAGTCATTAGCTGGGATTGTGCTGGTGATGCAGCGAAGGGCATTGGGACCGGGATATTCGCAGATTTTACCTCGGGGTTTTGGGGGGCCACCATTTGTTTCATCACGCGGTGACGCGGCGCGCTCGCCTTGGAGTTTTTTGGATTAGGTCTTCTACTCGCATCTTGTTTGGATCGGCACTGCCAGGGCATATGTTTTCCTTTTTTGCAGGTGGTGCACGAATCAGGCGTTTGTGGGCTTTTGTTGACTTCTGTGCAATCCTTTACAATGTGGCCAGGTTTTTTGCAGAGGTAGCAGGGTCCTAGAGGCAGAGCAGCTTGCATGACAGCCATGGTGTTGTATTGTTGTTGGGAGCTGAGATGCAGGGCAGTTAGAAGTTCCGTAAGTCTCTGGTCTCTTGCTTCTGCCTGTTGTGCTTGTGCTGCAAGAGCCCTTTCCAGTTTATCTCCCCGGGTTTCTTCGGGTTCATGTGCTTGGACGACTGCCACGTCATGTGGGCTCCCAACATAGTTGCACGCTTCAATCATCTCAGGCACTGTAGGTTTTTCTTTTCCTAGGGCCTTGATGATTCGTTTGCATTGGGCGTTGGCATTATTTTCGAGGATGTCCCGGATCATTATCGGCCGGGCCAAATCATCACCACATTGCCTTTCAGTAGCTTGAATTACCCGGTCTACAAATGTGGTGAATGGTTCAGATGAGCCTTGGGTAACTAGATTGTATGCTTCTTCGGAAGTTCCCGCTGGCTGAATCTGCAAAAAGGCTCTGCGAGCCATCTTTTTGACATCATCCAATACCATTTTGGGTAGATTCGCCTGATGTTCGATCTTATCATCTGGTGGGTCACCTGTTAATTTAGACAAGGTAAGGGTGCGAAGTTGTGCATCAGTGCTTTGTCTATATGTAGTCAGGACTCCTGCAAGCATTCTCTTCCATTTAAGATCCCACAATATATATTGTGAGTCCGTGAGAAATGTGGTGGCAAGATGTTTGCAGTCATGTGGCGTGAGTGTGTGTCTCTCTAGGGTACTTTTCAACAGCTGTTTGAAATAGGAAGAGGAGATGCCACCGTCATTAATTGCTTTTCGCAACTCTTTTAAATCATGGGAGGGAAGGAATGTCCATGTTTTGAGATTAGCAGGTTGTTGGTTGGGTATTGCCGGTATGGCTTGGGAAGGCAGGTTGTCTTCTTTGTGGTTATCATATTTGATTTCAGGGCAGTTAGTCAATTGAAGATTGTTGGCACTGTGTTGAGAATTTGGTGAGACTGGGATAGAAAGGTTAGAGTTTGCAGGGGTAACATAGTTCTCTGTTTGTCCTTTGTTTGTAGAAGCTGCAGTTACATTGTTGCGTTCACGTTGCTGAGGCATAGTATCGTCGTTAGGGTGTGGTGAGGAGCTGTTAGTGTGGGAGGCAAGGGCTGCTGCCAGCCGAGGCAGAGGAGCAGGGGGGGTGGAGGTTGTGGGCAGCAGCACCTGTGGGGAACTGGGATTTGTGGAAGGATATGCTGTCGCTATGGCATTGGTTGCTGTGGCAGTCTGAAGAGCCGGCGAAGGGAGGGGTGCGGAGGGATATGGTGATGGGTTTGGGAAACCCGGAAGTGGTGCCGGCGTTGGGGGGTTCCGGGGTTCTGTAGCCAGAGGCAGGGGCTGCGGCGCCGCGGGGGGATGGGGGGGTGGGGGCGCCGGGTTTGCGTCTGCCGGGGGGTCCGGCCGCGAGTGCAGGAGGCGGGCGGGCAGCGGGGGTGCTGCGCCGGGAGCCGGGGCGTCCCTGGGAAGGACGGGCGGTGCCGCGGCTGCAGGGGCGGGGTCCGGGGCGCTCGAGGGAGAAGAGGTGGAAACAGGGGCGGGGTCATGGCCGCGCGAGAGGGGGGCGGCGGCCGCGGCCCCGGGGGCGGGGTCCGGACTGCGGGGGAGGGGGCCGGCGGCCGCGGGGGCGGGGTCTGGACCGAGGGGGAGGGGGGGGGCGGCCCCGGGGGCGGGGTCAGGGCTGCGCGGGAGGGAGGCGGCGGCCCCGGGAGTGGGAGCCGCCCAGCCCAGGGCCGGCGCATGGCCGGCGTGTTCGCCGGACCAGGGGACTTCCGGGTGGGTCGGGAGGGCGGCCGCGGAGGCGAGCGTATGCAGCTTTTGCAAAATCGCAGCTGACGCTTGAAATTGTGTTTGTAAAATAGCCATTGACTGGGTTTGTGCTTGTAAAATGGCTGTTGTTTGATTTTGTAAAAGTTCGGCTATAGTAGCCATCATAGCCGGGACAGGCAATGCTGGGGGGCCGGGCGGGGGGGAGGCGGGGCCCGCGGAGTAGTTTGGGGGGGAGGAGGTGGCCGCAAGGGCGGGTTCTGGGTTGCGGGGGAGGGGAGGGCCGGCTGCGGCAGGGAGCGCCGCTCGCTCAGAAACCGCTGCGTCTCCAGCCGCCTCGGCGGCATTCTCGCCGCAGCGCGGGGTGGGGGTGCAGTCCGGCGGGGATTGTTGAGCCACGGCGGGGAGCGGTTTGGCTGCTATCTGCGGCTTTTGAGAAGCGCAGATTCCTGCCACCACTCTATAAGCAGGGAGCAATTCGCAAGCATAGGGGTCCCGCCGTGAAATGTCGTTAAACAGTGTATGTCCCACGGACTCCCAAAAGTCTCCACAAAACACAGCAGAACGCTCGGCATATGGGAACTTAAGTAAGATCCATTCTAGGAGTTTTCGTAGCTCTTTTTTAGGCAAATTACTATTATGGCTACGTAATAAGTGGTTAAGTTGCTTATAGAGATCTCTATCAGCTGCAGAGTGGGACTGTCCCATTTTTAAACCAGTGTGGCTCACCTCGGTGTCGCTGGAGCGGGATCCTCTGTCAGGTTCCGACGTTTACTGCAGTCGGTGCTGAGGTCACCGCGGGGTTTTTCCAGAGCTTCAGCGCGGGCAGTGCTAAGCAGTGCTCGCCTGTGCTTTGTGTACGTGGCCACGTGGCGCGGCAAGTCTCGTCACAAAGCCTTGGGTCGCTGCGGAATCGCGGCGATCTCTTGTGCTCGGAGAATAATGGCCAGAAGTCGTATAAGGGCTCTAATAGCTCGCTACTATGTAACGAGTCGCTGAGCTGTACGACGGCTTCGGGACTTTTTAAAGAGCTCCGGTTCGTTACTGCCTAGCAGCAGAATGCCGTGCTCGCGATCACGATGGCGAGGAAATACCTGGTTATATAGTTAGTGTCCATGGAAAGGTGTCCTACAGGTAGAAAAGCTGGAAAGCATCCAGACGGGTGCAGTTGCAGGTCACCGTGGGTTCGTATTCGAGGTGGGCGCCAGTCTGTAACGACGTGTATTTGTATTCCACGGACAGATTCAAGCGAGATCTCTTTGGTTGCTCTTGGGGGAAGAGGTTTATTCAGGATACATTGAGGCTCTGCCTCGAGCTGCCAGACACAGCACGTGGCTGGGCCTCGGGTGATGGGGGAGGGGAGAGACAGAGAGGAGAGCAGGGACTCCCGGAGGACTCTCCAGGAGGGGAAGGAAGATCCAAGAGGGCGTCCAGCCCCCTGGAGACCCCTTATCAAGGGGGGCTCCAGGGTGGGCTGGAACAGGACCTGGGCCAATGGGGTCACAGGCACCTGATGGTTCAGGGGAGGGTTACAGATGTGGGGTGAACCATACATTCTGGGGGGTGACATGGGAGAATCCATTCGGCTTTTGGACCCCGCTGTAGGTGAGGGTAATTGTCCAGCCAGTAGGGGGCGTTATACTCGTCCTGGCTGTACCTTTGTGGTTCTTAATCATATTTATCTACCCTCCCCAACATTTTCTCTCTGGTGAAATTGCAGGAAGTTGTTTGTTGTCTAGCAACCTTCTCTCACTCAATAGAGTAAGCTTTTCATTCCCTTGTGTTTCCTTCAACAAAATAGATAGAAGAATGGGCCTTTTTTTGTGCTCTTTCATATTTTCCTGTAACTGAATTTTATTAACTCCTACACTGTTAATATTACAGGTTTGTATCTAATTCACTGTTAAGTCTGTGCAATAAAAAATGTGTTTAATTATTGTCTTCAACTTAGAATTATTTTCAAATTTAAGGAAATATTAAGTATTGTAATCAGCTCTTTACTAGATATGAAATATTGCTGTCAAAAGCAAATTTTCTTAAATATAAAACTGTTCAGTAACACATCAGGATTAACATTACACAAATTGTCACCAAGACATCAGTCATTGAATCTACTTTTATTCATGTATTTTTTTAATGGATAGACTGACTGTGTGTGGCTTTGGAAACTTAATTTGCTCTGCTAGAATGATCTCAAACAGGATTTGGGTTTAGGCATGAATGAGAATTTAAACTATGGTGCAACTGATCTCGCTTGGTATACTATGTATTAGGAGAGAGGAGATTTTTTTACCTACGCTGAAAGAAGCAGAAGCAGCTGTTTAGTGAGCAGATTCTGTAAACTTCTTGGTGATGCCCAGGTCAATTCAGACAATTGCCTGATTTCTGCAGATGCTGAAGGGTCATCCATGGCTTTCAGATGGTCCTTTTCTGTCAGCGTCCATTCAATCTTACCTCTTATTCAATCACATACCTTGCATGTTTTATGGGCAGATAATATATGCATTTTTATACCTTGTGTAAGTTAAACATGATGGGTACTATTCACAGGACAGTCTTTATTTATTGCCTGGGAAGTTCCATGTGTGAAGCAGAAGATGTGATAACAATAGGGAAAAGACAAATGGGCAGTCTAAATTGCAGTGCAGAAAAAAAGCATAATATACTTCACCATTTTGTTAGGTGGTTCTGGTTAATTCTTGAATCCATCCCAGGGGCAGCCAGCAAGAACAGGTCTTGGTATGGCAGCATATCTAGTCAGATACCAAAGCTGTGCTCATAGGTTGAAATCCTGGTGTGATACACCTCTTTTGCACTGCGAGTAGGGCTTTACTGATGTCAAATGATGTGCATTCTACTTTTCTGGTGTGAATGGGGAAGCCCTGTGTGTTCATGAGAAGCTGAGATTGCCCTGCAAGGAATGTGTTAAACAGCATGGATTCTTGGAGCTTAACCTGGTTAGGGTTTGCATCATTGCAATGTAGATTTTGGTATGATCCATTTGAAGCCAGCTGAGCTTCACAGAATAATGTATATCTGGAGAGGATGTGATCCTTAAACTTTCATTGTAATAGCCAAATACAATGTTCTTTTCAATTAAATGCAAATATCTAGTAAACATGGAAACAATGTTGTTTAGAATCCTGATTCTGAAAGAGGGTATTTTTCCAATTCTGTGTGGAATTATCAAGGCTCTTCTGTTGATATTTCTAGGTATCTAATCAAACTATCCTACTGTTCTTATTTTTTTTAGATAGGTCATTTTGGGAGTAGAGGACAAGGTTGATAGCTTTACAGAACAATTTTCAGTTGCATCAAGAAGAAGTAAAAGATTTTACTTGGAAAACTTTTCTGAACTTTTATTTATTTCCAGACCTATAATACTGTAAAAACAATTGCTCTAGATTTTTTTCTGAGATATTTCAATAATGTCACTGTTAATTTCTAGACAAGTTTCAAGTGTGTGGAAAAAAAGTAGCAATAAATACTCCCTTTCTCATTCCTCTCCCAGATGTGCGATTTTAATACTCAAGTATTTACAGGAAATAGTCCCAGAACATGAAAAAAAAAACCAAAAAAACCCACCCTCACCTTATTTTATTCAGATTTTTTTTCATGGTTCAAATAATTTTTGTTTTCATGGGGAGGACAATAAATTGTCTGTAAAAAATTGTCTGTATATATACTAGTATACATACATACACACTAGTGAAGTAGCTTTAGGTTGGGAATTAAAAGAGCTTTTTAAAAAGGTTTTGGATGTTTTAAGACCATTCTGCACGTGCTAAAATAAGATTTTTTAAAATTTCATTTAAAAAATCTACAGGTTGCAGGATGTCTCTCACATATTATAAGATTCTTGAAATGTTATTTATCAAAGCATGTGATGGCAATATGGCATAAGAAATTAAATGTCTGAACTAGGAATGTTGAGTCAATAGTGAAATTGAAATTATTATAAAAATTTGTTCATGGAAAATGAAAATAAAGCTCAAATAAACTTATTTATAATAAAATCTAAAATACTGGGCATAAGTTTATCTTGTCTAATCTCTTATTTGCAAAGTTTAACACAGACTTTGTGCAGTCATATATATATCTGTATCTTTTCTTCAGTTTTACTTTATGTATTTTTTGCTGCCTAGTCCTTCTGTGTTTATCAGAGCTCTACAGCTTAGTTATTATTCCTTCCTTCCTTTCTTCAAATGAGTGTTGGCTTGCATAAATCAGTACATTTTCTCCCTCAGGGGCTTATTTGAATATTGCTACTGTCCACTTTGTAGAAAAAGTCACAGATAATGCTTTCTTGATGATCTGGCTTCTTGTTAAGGAACTCAGCATTGTTTAGTCTCCTAGCATTGCCCCTCGGTGATTTATTTGCCAAAAAATGTGGAATATACATCAGTTTCCTTAAGAAGAGATGTTCACAAGGACAGATCCTTCCTTGAAAAACTCATAGAGCTGCCACTAGACAAAAGCGCACATGGTGCAGAAAAGAGTCACATAATAAGTTTTTTTCTCTTCTCATTAAATATGTCTTAAAGACATTTCATATATTAGGCCTCTGCTTTTGCTGAAAATTTCCTCCTGATTTCTTAGACATCAGGAGCTTATGATTTATAACATCAACACCTGTTGCTGTAACAACACCTCCCACCGTTTTACCAGAGATAATGTTACACTAGAAGCAACAGGAATATAACAGAAATACCTTTAATCTCCAGTGGAAAAATATTCTGTCGCCAGGTTAAGGATCTGACTGCTGCTCCATTTCAACAGAATTTAATGTAGGTTTTATTTTAGTGGAATTATTTATATTTTAGACTAGATCTGCCTTAAGATGTACACATAATTAAAATTTCATGATATCTGGCCACAGAAATATTTCCAAGCTCAACCTTGACCATTAGGAAGCTAAATAATTCTGAGGCTCTTAATTTAGAGGAAAAAAAAAATTTTTAAATGACAATTTCCCTGAATGACTTCACTCTCAAATTTTTAATCTTTGGATTCATTAGGAATGTCAGTTACATAATCAGTATCATCTCTCTCTTTTTTTTTTTTTTTTTTTTTTTTTTTTTTTTTGAGTAGGAAATCTCTGTTACTCAGAAACAGTCAATGTCAAGATTTTGATGACACTACCTCTGTGCATTTAAGCAGAAGTGGGTGGTGATCCATTATACAGAAATGAAATACCTTATTTCTTAGAGAGTCAAT